CCCCTCTTCTGTTCTCAATCTCTCACATCCTCTTCCCAGTCGTTCTCTGCATCATACCATGGCAGCCATGTTTTATGCAAGGAAAGCGCAACTGCAGCCATTTTGTGCTTGAAAACAAAAAAACTGCCATTTTGTTGAAGCAAACATTTCATTTAACTTCAGTAAGAGCAAAAAAATAGGTTTAAATTTTTGTCGAAATAATATATTTTTCTTCAAGACTAATGATCTTCTCTCTTTTTTTTCCATTTCAGTGTAAGTTGCCTTTTCCATTCAAAACAATGTTCAAAACAATTATGTGCATTATGTACTTTGGTATATTTGAATAATAATTAGGCAATAGAAGAACAGAACATATAAATAATAATATAAAATCTTATTCATCTTAGTTTTATTTAATGCCTGATTAAGGTTTTGTCATTACATGTCTAAAATTACCATTACTTTGTAAATGAATGCATATTTTGTATTTGTCTATTTTTTACATTTTTATTAGATTTTATTAAATACATTTTATTTTTTACTTTTTTGTATGCTGTCAGATGTAAACAACGGTTTAATTCAGACTCCTCTCAGCATTTCAAAATCAATCATTGCACGCTGTTTTTGTGTTTTGCAAAAAGTATTTTTATTTCAGTTAGTTTAATCGTATTAATAATGATTTGTTTGTTTGTTTATTTATTTTATTTATGGTTAAAATATAGATTATAGATTAATCCTATATTATAGATTAATCTTTTAATCTATAACAATTATAGATGAATCATTTCATGCCCTTGTCATGTAATATAGTGTTGAAATGAATTTAAATTTGAAAATCTTTTTTCATGCTTTCCTGTGTTCCAAGATTTGATTTGTGGAAAGATAAATGTGGACAAAAAGTAGCAGAATGGTACATGTTACATGAGCTATATATGATAAAGTCAAACAATGTTTGATTAGTGGTTCATTATAAATGCATTACATTTATGCATTGTTTTTCAAATTTTAATTTACTATGATTTAATTGTATATGTTTCTATTGTTTTGATGCTCATTCGTAGATCTTTTCTATTGAGGCAATTTCATTTTATCTGCACACATTTTCTCTTATTTCTTGACTGTAAATATTGACAAAAGTCAGTGTCCTCATCAAAAGAAGGCATGTTTGAATTAAATCTTTAATGAAGGATTTTATCTCTCCGTTTGGTCAAGTGTTAATGATGGGTTAAACTAACTTGAACTAATGTGTGTTAACTTGATTTTGCTTAACGAGCAGCCAATTAGTTGACGTGAAATGCTTTTGGAAAATTGACGTCCTGCGGTGTGACTTGCTATGCTTCATTTAAAACATTGTAAACCATTTTTCCAAATATTTTATAATTATTATACATGCAGTTTGTGTGTCCAGATTAACTGAGAAAGTACATGAAATGAATTGTAACTTAAATTTTTTTTTTTTAATTATTATTATTGTTATTTGTCCATTTTAAACAAACATACCAGTGAAGGCACGAAGCTGATTTCAAAATTTAAAATCTAAAAAGGGCACAGTCATAGAATACCACTCACATGAATTACATTTTTTTGAAAAAGTTTATCTTAAGTGTGAACTACATGCTTGTTTGTACACTTGTCTTCCACTTTCAACTCGCTCTGTAGTTTTAGGTAACACTTTTCTGCTCTTGTTTAGTCTACTATGCTCTACTTTCCTCCACATCTGCGATATCTCTGTATGTCTCTCTCTCTCTCTCTTTCTCCATTCATCTTTTCTCCATTATGTTTCTCAGTCTGACCCCCTGTTGAGAGAGTGACACACAGACACAAACTCCCTCCCTCCTTCCCACTTTTGTCTCTTTCCTTTTGCCGTCTGACCTTCTTTCAGATTCTCTTCCCTGTTCGTTCTCGCTCTGCTTTTCTCATACTTCCTCCTCTTCTCTGTCTTCTCCTGTGTTTCGCTCCATCACTCTATCTTTGTTGCTTTTGTGGCCCTTCTCTGTTCAGTCTTTTATCTCTTGCTCCTTTCCCCCCTCTAAATCTTTCCTTTTCCACGCTCCTTTCTTTTGTTCATCCTTCCAGTCCACTTTTTTTTTTTTGTTTCTTGCAGAATCTTTCATCTCCTTCCACCTTCATTTTTTTTTCTGCTCTCTTTCTGTATGCGACCTTTAAGAGAATTTGCATTGAGGATGTATTTTGGGGTTGTGCAGCCGTTAGTAATTTTTCACTATGTTTCTGCCTGAGTAATGTTAAATGTGTCTCTATGTGCGTTCTTCTCTTCATTTGTTCTCAAGAATGATGTTCCAAGTTTGTAGTTCTTCAAAAACAAACAAACAAAAAATGTAGAAAGCACTTACATCTCACATGTCTCTCTCTCTTTCTCCCTCCCTCTCTTTATATCCTGTAGCAACAGCTGGATCATCAAGACGAGAAGGTTAGTGTTTATTGGCATACACTTTATTTGTAAGGTCCCTTGGATTATAATGTGATATAGAACTACAAAATCATTTTTTTAATTATTAAAAAAGCAAATTATTTTTTTATTATTGAATATTATTAAATATATGTGTGTGTGTGTGTGTGTGTGTGTGTGTGTGTAACAGTCTCAAAGTAAAGAGTTGCTAAAGTGTAATTTTGTGGTGGCTGTGCTTTAAAAATAAATTATTATAATCTGAATTTAAGTGATTAAAGATTTTGAATGACAGTAATTATTGTTGAGTACTACTGTAAGGTTATCCTGGTTTAAATGTTTGAAAATTATTAACAGTTGAAAACATTCCTTAGAAATTTGGAAAAGTAATCAAAAAGTAATCAAATGTAATAATTTACATTACTTTAATAAAGTAATTGAAATGGTTACACTACTTAATACATACACGTATATATTATTGTTGATCATAAACATTTTTAAATTATGAACAGGTTTTGTGTGCGCCCTTGCCGCACCAGTAATTATTTGATTATAATTATAGTTATTTTGCATATACCTTATGCTAAATTATTTTTTATCATTGTTTTAATTTTTTATGACCACTATGAACAGAATTAAGTCTATTTTTATACATATAAAACTGCATTCTTAGATTTCAGGAGCTATAAAGATGCTAGATGTCAATGTTAAAATGGGTAAAAACAATTAAATATCCAATATGCGCCAATACGGATTGGTTTACAAAATCTCAGGTGCCGATATAGTGTGCTTCCCAAATGTGTGTGTGTGTGTGTGTGTGTGTGTATGCATATGTATTTTTACATCATATTTATTTGTTTGTCTGTTTCACCTTTTTATGATTATTATAGCCACAGAGAGACCATCACACAGCAGTGCTGTCCATCCGGTGACAGTCGGACGACTCTCTCTCCTCCTCATCTTCCTCTTGTTGCCTTATTTTCTCTAATATTTCTTTTTGAAACATAAAACCTAAAAACAAGTGCTCTGTTGCGGCAGATATTCCTCCATAGCCAGTTGCGTTACAGTAAATGCTTGCTCTACTTCTGTGGATTACACACACACATAGACTCTCTCTCTCGTACTCCTTTTCTCTGTCATTTTTGTCACGCTATTAATCCCCATCCCTCCATTTCCTTTCTGGTTGTCTCTCTCTCCGTCCACTCTCAGTGGCTCCTTACTCCTGTCTGCTCTGATGAAAGTTCACTCTGTAACAGAGCGACACTAATCTACCTTCAAAGAGCTTATCTTACTGTTCATTTTCTTTTAATCCACCTGTCCTTGAGAGTCAGACATTCCTTTACAAGCCCCTGCTCCCCCCGCCCCCTCCCTCTGTCCTACTGTACAACAAACTGAGCCAAAGATGAGGAGGATGAAGCTCCTCGGTCCTGCTGTTTGTACTACTGAGTGAAAGATCAGGGACAGAGTGACCATTCAAAGGTGTGATCACTACCATATCCAATGATCAACAGCTTGAAAAAAAATACTTTTTGTGCATTTTTTACATTTTTTCTCTTTGAAAAAAAAAAACAATACATTGAAACCAAAGCCAGACCACAGCATTTAAAAATTGTTTTGCTGTATTGACTTTATGCAACCCTGCAGAACTCTGGAATTACCTGGAATATCCTGGAATTTTTGTGTCTTGAATTTCTTTAAAAATGTATTTGAAATTTGTAATTTGCATGACTGAGTGACGGCCTGCATGGACCACACAGGAAGAGAAGAAACTACTTCCTGTTCATCACTTGTGGGGCATGTATGATCAGGCACTTCTCAGTATGGACTCCTCTGATTGGTCTGCGTGTTTCTTAACTCTCTGTAAAGCATAAAAGCAGTTTAATAAGGCACTTAATCAGGTTCATATACAACATCATCATTTGTTTGTTTGTTTTCTCACATAATTGTTGTGGGTATGTGAATTCTATGTAACGAAAGTGTTCATTTTGTTTAACTTAATGAGGGAATATGCAAAATATATTTTAATGATCCATAACCATAAGCAATCTGTTTTTTTTGTTTTTCAGTTAGTCTGAAATGTATTGATTATAGGGAAAACAATTTCCTTAGTGTTGTTTAATTTCTTTTTTAACCAAGATATTTTATTTACTGTAATTTTAATTTGAACAATGAATAATACATATTATCAGGAAAAGAAAAAACAATATTGTTTTGATGCTTGTATCTAGAATACCAATATTGATATGTAAGATGATCAAAAATAGCCCAAAATAAGAAAAGCTGGAAATGTTTCTATTTAAATAATTGAACTATTTTTGGTTGTTTGTTTGTTTGTTTAAATAAGTGTTTGAAATGAATATTTTTACATTTTTCAATTCAGTTCTAATAATAGTTAAGTCATTTTGTCCCCTTTTTGAGTTTTAGAATTGTAATACATATTCTGTGGTAATGATAACTGTTTTGTTTTTTGTTTCTCTAGTTTTCTGTTAATTTCATATTTTCAGATGCAAATCATGTCTGCCAAAACAGAACAATCAGTTTACAGATTTTTTTAAATATAGTTTTTAGTATGTAGGAATGTCATTTTCTTTGTAATTTGAATGTTTCACATTTTTGTGAACTGATCAGGATCTTCTGTGAAGAACTTTTGTCTTAGCCATTTTTCGACAGCAAAATGAGCTACAAAAATAAAACAATGCGTTTCAAACTGTACATTCCACGTTTTTTTTTTACAGTGTAAATTCCTGTTTCATATAAGTGTTTCTTGAAAGTGAATCTGGAGCCAGTCATGAGAAATAATTTTGCAAAATGAGCTCCTGTTTTTTTTTTAATTTTCTTTAGGGTTTTCCTTTTTTATTCATGTGTGGCCAAGCTGTATGATCGAATTTAGCTTCAGTAATTTGAAATTCTCATCATTTTGTTAAATAAATGAATAGCAGATTAATAGGAAAGCAGATTAATTTCTACTGTAATAATTATTGTAATTATATTACAAAATAATTTGACCTTCAGTGCATATCAGGGGGTCTGTTTGTCTCCTCTAGATGGCACCTGTCCCACACGGAGCCGCAGAAATGCTATTTAAGAAACCCTGTTCATGTGGACAGTCACACAAAAGAGAAGGTGTGCAGTGTTATGAGTCACCATGACTCATTCCTCACCAAAACAAAAAAAAAAAACAGCCAACTGAACTGAGATATTATGTAAAGTCTATAATTATATAGATCTGCAGCAACAACATGAATAATGTGTGTTAATTTTGGATGTTAATATTTGGATATTAAATTTCTAAACAACGATGGTGAATGTCATTATCCCACATGTGTGTACTCATATACTATACACCCTATGTGTTTCTCAGACACTTGTTGCTATAAAAGTTTTCAATACAATGCTATGAAAGTAATTTTCTGTATTTTTGCATATTTTTATGCTAAATGTCATCAGATCCTATTCACAATCCCCTTGCAGCCGATAGCTGTTAGGACAACAAACACAACCAGAATGCTTTTTTTTTCAGTAACTTCTGTATCAATTTTGGCCCACTCCTCTGTGCACTAATGGACGGCACAAGAACTGCACTTTTTACGTCCTGCATGCCATACCATTTCAGTTGTTTTGTACTTTTGAGTTAATGGGTGTCACACTACTACACTTTTTTCATTCCATTGTCTTCCATTCATATGCATACAAATGTGGGACAGAGGAAGTAGAAGCTCATGCAAAATGTTGTTTTGTTCCAAAGTTCGAGTTTGGTGAACCAATAGAAATAATTACAACCTGTCAGAATCGCGATTTAAATCTACACCTTTGTACCTTATTTACCCCTAAAGGGTGCATATTGCTACCTTAAAGTTACATATTAATACCTAAATGGTACATATTTGTACCTTTTGAAAGGTTACCGCCTCAGTGACAGCTTTTGTACCTCTGTTCTGAGAGTGCAGGTGTCATGCTCAGTCAATGAAGGAAGCATCTATCTGTAATATCTATAATACCCCCTTTCCACAAATGATTGAATATGGCGATATGATTATATTGAGACATATCTGTGGTATGACAACATGTTTTTAGAACTATAAAAATCCCAAGAAACCAGATTATCAGCCATTGTGTCTTCTCTCACCAGTGACATCAATAGACTGAAGTGTCAGACCCAGCCTCATTCAGATCCAGCTCTGTCTCTACCCCCTAGTTTTAATATCCAAAATAGTCAACAGATTGTTAATTATTCTGTCAGCCCAAGAGGCAGGGGAACAGCAGGTAACAGGAGGCGACGAGATTGTAAAAATGAGTTTATTGAGCATTAGTATTGAACCAAAACATTTTCAACAAGTGTTTATACCAAATGAAATGCAATGGATAATTATTCACAACATTAGAGACCTTGATGGACAACACAGCACAACATAATATTAAACCGCAAAAGAAAAACAATACAACATTATATAGATATCTGAGAGACATGCACAAAAATAGAAACATCCTTTCATATTCAACTGCTTTTATTTCCAGCAAATTTCTTAACGTGTAAATATTTGTATGAATATAAAAAGATTCATCAACTAAGACAAAAAGTTGCAGAAGTGAGTATGTCGTGTGGCCACCAGCTGCTTAAAAGACTGCAGAGCATCTCTTCCTCATGGACTGGACCAGATTCGCCAGTTCCTGCTGTGAGATGTTTCCTCACTCTTTCACCAAGGCACTTGCAAGTTCTTGAACATGTCTGGGGGACAAATGGTTACACGTGGTCTGTCACTGCAAGGACGATCAGCTGTCCTTCCTGTCTCCCTGTAGCTCTGTCTTAGGCCTCTTACATTATGGACATTGACGTTTATTGGCTGCATCTGCATTCCTCATGCCTCCCTGCAGCAGGACTATATGGCATGTTCACGCAGGTGATCAGGAACCCTGGACACCTTTCTTCTGGTGTTTTCCGGAATCAGTAGAAAGGTTTTTTATTCTCCCAAGTTGTTTGGTATTTCAGCTGTTAGAAGCTTGTTTAATCATTTAGGTTGAGGAATTCCAGTTTTAAGCATATAGTCATTTGCATCCATCCATCACCTGTGTCATGTCTACTTTATTTCTGTACATATCAGCCTTGAATGTGTCTTGCACATTTCTAAACGCATAGCCTATTTTGTGTTTGAACACTTTCTCCAAACCCGACCTACTTTTGGTGAAAGGGCAATTCCTGATTTTAATTGAAACATTTTAATTTTTTTCTTTAGAATGACATATTTGTCAGCATTCATGTAGATTGTAATGCATTTTCTATGATGGCATACATCAACCACAGATTCTTCCAAATCTTTCTTTAAGGTACAGGCTAGGTGTTTCAGAGCCATTGTCAAAAGAGTTGGTGTAAGTGGGCAGTCTTTTCTAAGCTCTTTATATTGGTCAGTGTTTGGAAGCAGGTTTTCCACAATCCTGAAGTCACGTGGAGGTGAGGGATGGATGTGTTTCAGTGATTTCAAAGCTTGTTTTAAAAAACGCTTTTCGATTTTTTTGGGCATCCCACAAAAGCTAACAACAATGAAGAGTTTGTAACTCATTTTCATTGGTTTGCTTTTGAATGAGGGCTGAAGAAATTTTTCCATTCGCCTAACAAGTACTGTGGCAAGTATCATGTACTTTGCTCTGAAGTGGTGTCTTCCATTTTCTACCACACTGTCAGTGAAGCCCTTTGGAATTCCTTCTGTAATCATTTGGTTAAAAAGCTCTTTAAGTTCTTGTAGTTTTTGGTCTTTGTTAATCTTAAAGGTTTCCATATTTTCCCCAAGTGGGGTTTCATATTCTACATAGGACATTAAAGCTTTCAAAACTTCAGCTTCACTGATTTCACCTGCTCTCCTCTTATAAGGTCTCTTTCTGAAGACCATGTCTTTTATGCTACTAGAACATGCTATCGGGTCTTTTGAGCGAACAGTTGTAGTGTAATCTGGTTTTGGCAAACACAGACTAAGAACTACAGGGAGGTGATCTGAAATATCCCTTTGAACTTGGTAGATTTCACAACTCTCAGCAAGCCACACATCATTTCGTGGCATGAAGACCATGTCTAGTCTTGATGCACCCCTTTTCTTGTTCTTCGGACTTGATGTGTTTTGTTTTTTTTGTTTGGATGGTTTCCATGGAAGACGAGTAAATGAATCTCTCTTACAATGATTTTTAAGTCCCCAGACATCTACAAGCATTAAAGACAAGATGAATTCTTCGAGATAAGGTCTAAGGGCCTCTGTATGTCCAGTTGGATACTCCCGGTCAAGATCTGTGCTTAGAACCGTATTGAAATCCCCTGCAACTATCAAGACACCTTTGGCAGTCTGACAAAGATATTCAGAAAGACACTGCAAGACTTTGTGTTCTTTTGCATGGTTATATACATTCACTAGAGTGAAGCATTTACCATATAATTTGCAGATAATTACAATGTAGCTGCCTGTGGGGTCTATATCATATTTTATATGCTCAAAAGGCAAATCATTTTTTATCAGTATTGCGACACCTTTGCTACGTGGATGATGAACACTGTAAAATGGTTTCCAACCACGAATGTTTTCAACATGGCTAACATCATTGATACCTATATGTGTCTCTTGAAGAAATGCAACAGATGCTTGTAGTTCATGCAGCCTTTGACCAATCTTGTTTTTTTTCTGTTCGACATCAGCTGTGTCTCTAATTCCACAAGTGTTCCACGTGACGAGTTTCAAAGTTCCAGCCATAGTATCTAAATGAAAACAATTCAAAAAAGAAAAACGACAGTTAGGCTGATGATACACGGGGCAACTTTTTGAGCAATGTTGCTTTGGCCAACTGTGCCGTCAACGGGCATCCAAGACACAGGGCCCACGGCTGATCTAAAGTACCCAGATAGAAATTTATTACCCATTCTCAATGGGAAAATGCCCAAGCAACATTGCTCAAAAAAAGTTGCCCCGTGTATCATCAGCCTTAGAATATATGAAAATATTTTAATGTATAAAAAGCATGACAGTCTCATTCAATTGTTGGGAC